CAAATTGCAGTAAGCTTCTTTTGTTGCTTTGCAAAAAAGGATCGAATGTCGCCGCTTTCTCTTCATCATTCAACAATTCTTCCGAAAAATAGTTTATAATTACCAAACGTATGAAACTCAAATAGTATAGTCACATGCGATTGATGCTAAACCTAAATTGCTAATCGGTAGTCCATTGAACAAACTCACGAACACGAATTGAAATAATAAAAATCACCCATAAATAAATAAATAAATAAATAAAATATATAACTATACGAGTACAGTACAAAGTTTTTTTTACAAATAACAAGATCAATACCGCAGTCCTACAACTAAGTCACCACTCGAGTCGGAGTGCCGATCGATCGAGCGTCGAGCGATCGGCGCGCGTCATCGGGATGACCCGGCCCGGCGACCGACGCAATCCGGGTCCCGCGTCCGGCCGTCTGGGCCTCTGCCCCGTCTCTTGGCCAGCCTTGCTACCAAGGCCAAAATCAAAAGTCACCAAGTGCCAAATCGCCGAACAATGCCCGACGCGCGTCGTCGCTGAATCGCTAAAGCTCACGCTGTGGTACGGCCATTTGGTAATTGGCCGCGCGCAGAGACGAAGATGATTCGACTTCTCCGCGTGCGATTACTCCCGGGCCCGAGTCGCAGCGCAAACTCAGCGTGCTTTATTATGCGTTTTTGCGAAGCGCAGGTTTAACCGAGTCGTAGTCATTGCGTGCATTTCGCTTGCTTCCTCTCCTCTCTCTTTTTACGATAAATTTTCTATTATGTATGTACGCGGCCTCTCCACTTGCGTCGCGTGGACGCCACCGATACCGAGCCGTTCGGTTTACGCTATTCTCCAAAGATCCGACCTCTGGTAGTTTTCTTTTACAAATCACTGTGTATATAGTCGTCGTATGCAGATCCGGGAACGCGAGGTATGCCAGGCATACCGGCATACCTCAGAGTCCGTCCCTGTGGGCCGTCGAGACCCTACCGCTACCCCTGCCTCCCACAAGGATGAACTGGAGTGCCAGTGCTCCACCATCTCCGCCATTGAGGGGCTGATCCAACAGAAGAACTTGGCGTTCTCGTCCCCTGTGTTGCTGGTCAAGAAGGCGGACGGTACGTGGCGGCTCTGCGTCGACTACAGAGCCCTCAGCGCCATCACTGTATAAGATGCTTACCCAATTCCAGTGGTGGATGAGCTCCTGGATGAGTTGCACGGTGCTCGCTACTTCACTAAGCTTGACCTGCGTTCCGGCTACCACCAAGTCTGCATGAACCCTGCTGATGTGGAGGAGACGGCGTTCCGGACTCACGATGGCCTCTATGAGTTCCTTGTGATGCCATTCGGGCTGTGCAACGCCCCGGCCACATTCCAGGCGCTGATGAACGATGTGCTGCGCCCCTTCTTGCGCCGCTTCGTCCTCGTCTTCGACGACATCTTAATCTACAGCAGCTCGCTGGCGGAGCACCTGTTCGCGCAGTCCTCACCGTGCTCCACCAACATCGCCTCTTCGTCAAGCGCTCTAAGTGCGCGTTCGGCGTCGACTCCATCTCCTACCTGGGGCACGTCATCCCAGCCACCGGTGTGGCCATGGAACCCGACAAGGTCCAGGCGGTTGCCGATTGGCCTACACCACGGCGCGCGCAGTCCGCTGGTTCTTGGGCTTAGCCGAGTACTACCGCAAGTTCGTCAAGGAGTTTGGCACGATCGCTGCACCCCTGACTGCTCTGCTCAAGGAGGGGTTTGCCTGGACTGAAGCAGCCAGCGTGGCCTTCACTACCCTTAAAACAGCGGTCACCACGGCGCCCATACTCGCGCTGCCTGACTTCGGGCAGCCCTTCATCGTGGAGTGCGGCGCCTCCACCTATGGGTTTGGCGCTATCCTCCTTCAGGGCCAGCACCCTGTGGCGTTCTTCAGCCGTCCAGTGGCGCCACGACACCAGTCCTTGGCGGCATATGAACGAGAACTCATCGGCCTTGTCCTTGCCATCCGCCATTGGAGACCATACTTGTGGGGGCGACGTTTTCTGGTACGAACTGACCATTATAGTCTTAAATTTTTATTGGATCAGCGCTTGGCCACCATTCCCCCGCACCATTGGGTGGGCAAGCTTCTCGGCTTCGATTTCTCCGTTGAGTACAAGGCGGGCAGCACCAATACGGTGGCTGACGCCCTGTCCCGCTGCGACACCGAGGAACTCGCGGTCCTGGCTATATCAGGGCCATGTTTTGACTTCATCAACCATCTACGCCAAGCCCACGACATTGATCCAGCGCTGATTGCCCTCAAGGATGAGCTCACGGCCGGCCAGCATTCGGCCCCGTGGTCACTCATTGATGGCCTGGTGGCGTTCCAGGGATGTCTCTAGATCCCGGAGGGATGTCTCTAGATCCCGGCCGCCTCAACACTCCTCTCCGAGCTCCTAGCCACCGTCCATGATGATGGCCATGAAGGGGTCTAGCGGACCCTTCACCGTCTGCGTCGCGACTTCCACTCCCCCAATCTTCGCAAGGTGGTTCAGGACTACATCAAGGCATGCACAACCTGCCAGCGCTACAAGTCTGAACACCTGCACCGAGCAGGCCTACTTCTTCCGCTGCCCATCCCGACCACAGTCTGGGGCAACATCGGAATGGACTTCATCGAAGCGCTGCCCCGCGTTGGCGGCAAATCCGTCATCCTCACGGTCGTTGATCGCTTCAGTAAGTACTGTCACTTCATTCCGCTGGCTCACCCCTACTCGGCGGAATCAGTGGCACATGTCTTCTTCACCGACATTGTCCGCCTCCATGAGGTCCCTTAGTCCATTGTCTCGGACAGAGATCCGGTGTTCACTTCCATCTTCTGGAAGGAGTTGATGCGGCTCACTGGGACCAAGCTGCACATGACGATAGCTTTTCATCCTCAGTCCGACGGCCAGACGAAGGCCGCCAACAAAGTCATCGTCATGTACCTCCGCTGCCTCACTGGGGATCGTCCTCGCCAATGGCTGCGCTGGCTGCCCTGGGCTGAATACATCTACAACACGACGTTCCAGTCTGCGCTCAAGGACATGCCGTTCCGGGTGGTCTACGGCCGCGAGCCCCCCTCCATCCGTTCCTATGAGCCCGGCGAAACCTGGGTGGCTGCGGTGGCCAAAAGCATGGCTGAACGCGACGAGCTCCTCGTGGACGCCCGCGCTCGCCTGGAGCAGGCTCAGGCGGTCTACAAGCGCTTCTACGACAAGCACCACCGCGACGTTCGCTACGCTGTTGGGGACTGGGTCTGGCTGCGCCTCCGCCATCGCGCCCCAGCGTCCCTGCACTGGTTACCAAGGGGAACCTCCGGCCCTGATTCTACGGGCCCTACCGCGTCACAGCCATCATCAACGACGTCGCCTACTGCCTCAAGTTGCCTCCTCGCGCCCGGCTGCACGATGTGTTCCACGTCGGGCTGCTGAAGAAGTTTGTGGGGACACCACCAGCAACACCACCAGCGCTGCCCCCCACCCACCACGGCGCGACGCAGCCGGTTCCAGAGCGCGCCACGCGCACTCGCTTGGCCAGGGGCGTGCGGCCGGTGCTGATGCATTGGCAAGGCGAGCCCACAGCATCGGCCACCCGACAGCTTCATCGACCGCTATCCAAGCTTCCAGCTCGAGGACGAGCTGCTCGTCGAGGGAGGGAGAGATGTGATGTGGGGGCGCCAATATGAACGGCGTCCCAGGGCTCGGGATGTGGCCAGAAGGGCCAGGGCGGCATCCAAGGAGGTACCAGCTGTAATTAGTAGCAATTAAGTATTATGGGGAAGAGATTAGAGTAATCAGAGAATGATTAATGGGGAGAGAAACGAGGAGACCAGAGCTATGCGCCTAGGGGCTGGGCTGCTCTATATATACTCTGTAATCAGCTTATGAGGAATCAATGAAGAAACAAGTTATCTCCTAATCTACCTCTGCTCCTCTTAATCTCACCCCCTTCACCATAGGGTGTCCAGGGAACCCTCCTGGTGCCATTACCCAATCAAGCTACGCACTCCGGAGTCGGGGACCTGCTGTCTTGGGCACCAATGCCCTTGACATGGACTGAACCACTCCGACTGCTGTTAGTGTGTCGCCAAAGCTGCTCCATCATCTGTCATTGGCACTATCTAGGAGACAGCCACATGTGTCCCTGTCAAACTGAAGGGTACATTGGTCTAGTGTACTATTGCACGCAGAGATAAACTGAAGGGTACATTGGTCTAGCGTTCTTAATGGGTTACTGTGATTATTTTCCCCTCTAGATGAAAGATGTGTTAATTGCTCAGATGATTGTATGCAGAGATAAACTGATGCACTTCAGGAATAATGCATTCATGTAAATGCAACATTCTTTCTAAGCCATTTAAGTTGATTTCCTAGTTAATGACATGCATGCACCAAATATATGTAGATTATTGAGATTGTTGCAATATGGAGATGCAAGTTAGCTGCAAATGACGTGCCCAATATTTTAGCAATTAGTACCTCCATTGTCTTTTATAAGGCACAGCTTGATATGACATGGTCTCCCAAATTGCACTTTGACCATGTATTTATTTTATTTTATATTATTTATACTTATAAACTTATGATAATTAGATACTAGATTTAATTACAAATCTAATCATTTCAAGTTTATGTTATAACAATTAAAATTTGTTGTCAAATTATTGGTCAAAAATTTTGAAGTTTGAATCTTCATATGCGTGTACACTCGTCTGATGTGTGTTGCCATACTGTTAGGGGTGTAATCTTAGTTGGCACTAAATATTCTTCTGAAGGCAGTACAAAAACTTTGATCTATTGTAAAATGCTTTAAGCACTTCACAGGGCAGCATCACACCTTCCCATACTATTATCGGGTGGCAACCTCAATCCATATCTTAATTCAAACATTAACTTTTGGATGGTGTGGCACCGAGGCAGCCATTTGGCAGGATTTTTTTGGGTTGCATCGCTAGCTTATTAAGTAATTTGTGATACATAACTAACTTTCTTAGTAACAAACTTATCAGGCTTATGATGATATCAAGTCAGCTGATTCTTTGGAGAGTACCTTTGAAGCGCTCAACAGTCTTATAACTGAAGCAAACCTTATGAAGACAGCTCTTAATGTGGTTCTTCCAGTAAGCTGGTCTGGGGATTCATCAGATGCAATTACATATGAAGCTCTGTGCGATCCATCTGATTCACCTAAATCAAAGTCTGGGAAAGTAGACCCACTCTCTTCTGCAGGCATGGAGATGGTGGAGCTACTAATATTGGCTGCTGAGATTCTCAAGGAGAGCTTTTTGGTGAAGAAATAAGGCCTCCATGTAAGATCGAGTCTGTCTCTCCTTGTTTGTTTAGAAGCATGCAATTTAATCCTTAAATTAAATTTTGGGTGTATATACTTAAACTGATTGCTAAAAGTGCACTACTAGACTAAGCCAAATGTGTACTGTAATTTAAGGTTCGCTGCTATTGCTGTGTCTTGTGCTGGTAGACTAAAGGGTTAAGAAACCATGTGTACAAAATTCAGTTTACAGACAGATCAAAATAGATGGATGTTTGATATGCATCCGAGGTCTTCGGTGTACAGATATCAATATTTTTTGAGAGGATATCACCATCATTTGATATAACAAACATAGATAGGTTGTGAATTGGGCGTAATTCAGTGGGTTGGTTTCTTGTGGAATTTTGCATACTGTTTAGCCTCAATCAGGCCCAATCAGGCATGGGTGATTGTATTTTTCCAGATTTATTTTAGGATTTAACGACATCTTCCAGCGGTAAGTGATATGTCTGTTGATGGAGATACCTATGATAATTTTATTATCTTGAGATTTGTTGTCTTAGTTTTTCAGAGGGTGTTCATAGGGATACGTGTATATGTGTACGTTTAGAGACGAGTGTACATGTGTACATGCGTGTTTATGAGTGCTTACGTATATAGTGTAAAAAATGGAGCTGTTTTTTTTAAGTCGATTTGATTGAGGAAATAATCACGTGGTTAGACGAACATATCATGTGAGCAACTGCCACCAAGAAATTCAATCATATAGACGTCATGGTTGATAAGGTACCGTCTAGAAGCTTTGACTTGTAAGGTAGACACGATAACAGGATGGACAATGAAGGCAATAAATAATGGAATCTCTACCACGTGATGGGTCGCACACACGCTTGCGACCCCTAGCCCTCCTCGCGCTCGCCTCCTCCTGCTTCTCCCTCTTCGATGGCGACGGCGCCGGCGCCGGTGAGGTAGGCCGCCGCCTCCTCTACCTCCTTCCTCTTCCACGCCCATGCTCAACCGCGCTCGGGTCTTCTTCCCCAACTCTAGCTGACAGCTAGGGTTTTGGCGGCTGCACCCTACCCTTCCCCAAATTCGGCGGGCTATAGAAGGGCCGACAGGGGGGAGGCAGGCCGGCCAGGCGGTGGGGAAGGAGGCCGGGCGGTTTAGGGGGCTTGGTGGTGGTCGTGGCGGCCAGGCCAAGGTGGGGCCGGGGCGCCATGGCTGGAGCTCGGCGTCGTCGACGAGCATGGCCATGGCGGAGCTCCGGCGAACCCTAGCGCCCGTGGCAGGGCGGTGGCCAGCGGCGGGGGCGAGAGGAGCATGAACGACGGCAAGCGTGGGGTTGAGGACGAGGGGCGCGGCGGCGGAGAAGGGGCGCGACGGGAGGTTGAAGACGGGTCGTGTGCTCCCATCGCGTGCGACAACTGCCTCCAATAAATAACACGGTCATCAAGTCCTAGATTGGTGGTGCTATACGAAGAGCAGAATCGCTGAGGGAAGTTTTCTTCAAGTAAAAAGAAAACGCAGAATCACAGATTATATTACTGCGCTCGAAACCTCCATATATATTTTGGAGCTCAATATAATGCTTACAAACTTCTGTCCGACAAAAAAAAATGCTTACAAACTTCTGTCTGACCAAAAAAATAAAATCAAATGGTATATGAAGTAGTTCTTTAATCTTCACCGGCAGCCATAAGTATGTCACCGTCCTATAAAGCCAATATTAGTGAGAGTTTCATTCGTATATTTAATGAGGTAATACATCAGAGAGATTATTTCCATTAAGATAGAATCCAGTGCACATAGTTATCAATAAAATAGAAAGAGTAAAATGCACTCTGAGTCCTTAAACTTTTCATGAATTCTCAGTTAAGTCCTCGAACTAAAAAGTAATCATCTAGATCCTTAATCTATTGTTAATTTTTACTTCGATCTTTGAACTAACAAAGTGACCATCTATGTCCTCAATCTACCGCCGTGCACTTGTGCTCGACCAAAGGTCCAAAACCTTCAACACCACCACCAACTGCATACATGGCCGTGCTGATTAAAGTTGGGGAAAAAAATCTCCGTCTCAATCTTTCTGCCCATGTAGTCCCCTTTCTCTTGCAGTCCACCTCTCTTTGTTCATTCCATGGCTTCGGAGCGCAAGCATAGCCGCAAGGCCGGTGGGCAGTGTAGGCGAACACAAGGGCGCAACCACGAGGTGGGCACGGTACGAAAGGGAGACATAGGAGGGAGTGGACAAGGGAGGAAAGCTTTTTTTTTCCTACGAGTTTCACCTAGTCTGGACAACCACGCTGACACAACCACGCATGCATATAGAGGTGATATGGTGACCTAAATGGTCACTTGTTTAGTTGGAGGACCTAGGTGAGAATTTACAATACATTGAGGACCTAGATGGTTACTTTTTTTAGTTTAGGACCCAAGTGAGAATTCATTAAAAGTCTAAGAACCCATGGTGCATTTTACTCAATTGGAAACATAATGAAACTCCACTAGAAATGTTTTGTTTCATTCCCACACGTTGGAATCTGTTTTTTTGCGGGGAAAAAGAAATTTATTAATACTTAAGTAGCATCCTTAGAAAGTGACATAACCCACTCTCGAAAGCAAGCAAAAAAAACAGACACTTTCTAGATCTAATGGCAAACTGTGCCAACTCATGCGCCGTATTATTCTGATTTCTACATATTTTAACCCGTCTCCAACCTACTTAGCTGTCTTCCAACATCACGCTGTCTCCTCAATGACTTGCCACAGCACAGAGCCATCAGAGTCTTTAGCTTGGAGCTTGGTGACCACCGTTTGACAGTCAAACTCGAGGATGGCAACTTTTCACGTGACTGTGTTTTATCTATTTGAATTTTGAATTTTAAAAAATAGTAATTTCAAACGTTATGATTTTAACTGAAAAAGTCATTAACATAAACCTTGTAGAACTTATCAAGATCTACAATTTTTATTTTGGTCATTTCTTTATCCGATAAAGTGGTAGTAACCTTGTTCACAAAATTTACATATCCCTCTTATAGTTTCATAAACAATAAGAGGGATATGTAACATTTGTGAACAATGTTACTACCACTGTGTCGGATGAATAAATGATGAAATGACCAAAATAAAAGTTATAGATCTCGAAAAGTTATAAAACTCTGTAGTTGACAACTTCTTGATTTTGAAATCATCTTGTCAAGGAAAACTATGTTTGAATTTCTAAAATTTGAAATTCAAATTTTGTAAGCGACCTCGGATGGAGAAACTATCAAAATAAAAGTTGTAGATCCCAAAAAGTTATAAAACTTTGTAGTTGACAACATTTTGATTTGAAATTATCTTGTCAAGGAAAACTATATTTGAATTTCTAAAAATTTAAAATTTGAATTTTTTAAACGACTTCGGATGGATAAACAGCAAAAACGAAAGTTGTAGATCTCAAAAAGTTATGAAACTTTGTAGTTGACAAATTTTTGATTTCAAATCATCTTATCATGGAAAACTACGTTTGAATTTCTCAAATTTAAAATTCAAATTTTGTAAACGATCTCGGATGGAGAAACTACCAAAATGAAAGTTGTAGATCTCGAAAAGTTATAAAACTTTGTAGTAGATAACTTTTTTATTTGAATTCGTTTAGGGTCCCAAATACTTATTTCAAAATCAGATGAACATAAAATGGCGAGGACGAAAATCTTATTTGGACACAAATAGCTTGCAGGTGGAGTGGTTTGGGGCCGAAGACACGATGCAGGAGGTCAGGGGTTCGAGTGCCGGTGGCCGCGAAGCGTGTGTTTTTCGTGCGAAAAAACTTGTGACTTGCGACCCTGTGACTGTTCAGTGGGGCCTCTCACAGAATTAAATTTTTTCCCTAATTTTTTAGCTTATTTTTTGGATTTTCTGAAAACCACATCACTGTCAGTTTTTTATAACCGGTAGTGATGAGCCCCCTTCATCACTGCCGGTATGCTACTGCCGGTTCAAAATCCGACAGTGAAGGGGTTTTTTGAACCGCCAATGATGTGAAGATCTGGGTAGTGCAACATGTCAAAGTATACAGAGGCATATACACTTATAGTAATAGTTAACTCTTCATCTATGCATAATGGTCATCTCTAAGGAGGAGCGTAGCAGAAATATCACTTCCTCCATCATGACACATGTCCTACTAGTGCTACGACTGGGGTGGACTACAGAGGATCAATGAGACTATCACTCACACGATCTACCACACTTTTTGGAATGGAGGCTGCATCCATAGGCAAAACAATATGTAAGCACCACGCTTACACAAAGTCCGGCTACTCAACCCACTCGAGTACTAAGTCGAGCGCTCTGTGATCCTATGCATAAACTTAAAGATAACTACGACTATATCAAGTATGTACCTGAAGTAAACTAAGAACATGATAAATAAAAAACATAATATAGATTAAGATCAAAGTCATATATGATATGAAATATAAAGATTACAATGGCTATACCAAGTCTTTAGAGACAAATCCGGAACGCCGAGCAATAACCGGACTCTACTTGAATCTTACTTTAGCTAGACTATACTTTAAGTATTGGAGATCTTCTCTTCTCTTCTCTTCTGAATTGAACTGGACTGAACCCAATTGGTTGCCTTTCGGGAAGGGGTCTGGGGTCCTTTTATAGGAGGTATCCGGCACCCTGCAGGCCCATAAATCCATGGCACAGCTCCATCTCGACTCTCTGTTCCAAATCGACTTGAATGCATGGTGGAGATTGATCCTTAGAGGCGGTGGAGGATCCTCGAATCACGGCGTGGCGATTGGTGGGGCCAGGGGTTGGCCGACCTACTAGTAGTGGGTTTGGCTGACCCTCCTGGTCTCCTCTTCCATTGATCTTCGTCGGTAACTCTTGGACGGTGGATTAGAGCCTAGTGGAGTCGGTTTCATTGCGAACTTGATTTGTTGAGATAACATGGCCCACTTGGTCCATTTTCTAGATAAACCCTCCTGCATTCACAGAATCACCAAAACTCATGGAAATACTTAGTTT